TACATTTTTCCTTTTTTCGGGATTAAAGTTAATTTGGGGCAAATTTTGTTCTATATGAGCAGATAATTTGCATACTACAAACACACAGAGTTAGAAATGGGACTTGAACTGACTTTACGGAGAACACAGTAGTGCAGTATTAATGCCACCATAAGAGATAAGACATTTATTCAAGTTAGGAAAGAAAGAGGCTTCAGTAGTGTTTTATATACCCTCTATTTAACAAACTGAGGGGGAGTAGGGTACTTAGCTGGCCAAAGAAGGTGGGCGCTTATTCGGGGAGGGGGGTCATATGAGTGCGGCTTCTTATTCGACGAAATGGGTTATAAGAGGAAGGTGGTTTGAAGTTCTGTGATTGCACCGAAAAATATCACGTCAGTCATAAATTGTAGTTTGTTAATTATCTTCCTAGGACAAGAAGCTGCCCCTGACCCATATGGAAAGAACTGAGAGGGCAAGAGTAAGTTCTGGGCGATGTTTATTGTAGTTTAAGGTTATTGTGCATTTAAAGGAATGTAGAATGAATCTTGTTTAAGACTTGCGCATATATTAGTTTCAGAAGATGCTGGGTTTATTACCATCCTTATTTATCTGTTTGAGCAGCGAGCCACTTTACTTTATTGGAGTGGCGAGGAACTTATTAGGGAAAGCTAGAAGGGGTTTGGAAATAAAATACGTTTTACCCTGAAGAGGAGGTGTTTACCAAAACATCAACTAATGTAAGTTAGGTATGTACGCTGAAGAATGTTAAATTTACCTTCTGATTTCATCAAACTTTTTAAACAGGCGTCAAGAGGGCCTCTACATAAGGCTGCTATCAGTGGACAGTACGAGATGGTCAAAATGCTTCTTGAACGTGGTGACGATGTGAATCAAAGAGATCAGGTTTAAGTCCTCTCCAGTTTATTCAAGTCCTACTTTAATCCTTACCTCTCGCGTTCGCTTCAGTGGCAGATTCTCTTATTCTGTTCTCAACTTGGCTGCGACGCACTAATGCAATAGCCTACGGACAAGTTCTTGTGTTGGTTTCGCGGCGGTTTCGCAAGGAGTTTCGAGGCAGCGGGAAAATAGGCCCTTCGAAGGTGGCCAGTCACATGTTAAAAAAGGCCTCCAGAAACGAACTGGGGCAAGTCGAACAAAGAGCTCGCATCATTTAAAATGCCATCATTAGGTTAAACCTGATCGTCCTGGTGAATTTGTCCATTGCCCGGTCAAGAACTCTGATGATGATTTCCTCATAGGTTGCGAAGCATTAGTTACTGTCACCAGCAATGCTATAGGCGAATCTTTGTTCACAATTTTTCCCTCATTATAAACATATACCTTTCATTTTCTGATCAAGCTATTAAAATAAACTGTCTCAATGTTAAAAAAGCGTAGCAATGTCGGTTATCTGTGGAAATCTTAGCCCCAACAAAAACTCGAAGTTCTCAAAGATTTTATGGACTCATTAACGTCTTTACCACACAGCAATTTTCCATTTTTCGATGGCTGTTATTTCCCTTGAAATTAATTTGCAAGGAGCTGAAAATTGTACAAATTGCTCAAATTAGTCAACTCTTTCAATTACAGTGGAATGCTGCGTATTAGTCTACTATACATTTCACAAGTTAAGTAAAATCACTCCATGCAAGTTCTTGAAAAGCCACCGTTGTTACTGGACTAGCTGGCTTCTTCAACCTCATCTAACTGTGTTGTTTTTTCCTATTTTTTTAGTTTTCTTTGACCCCTCTTCATCTTGCCTCTTGGTATGGGCAGGAATCTGTCGTCAAACTGTTGTTGAAACATGGTGCAAACGTCAACGCTAAAGACAGGGTGAGTTGGTGAACGTTACTTCTTTGAGTAATATAGTGCCGTGAGAGGGGTGGGGCAAAGAAGAAAACGTTTTGTATTGAATGTTCCATTGCGCAGCCAAATACATTTGCTCTAATTCCATCTGTGGTAGGTATCCTTTAGTCCCACTTGTATCACTTCACCAGAGTCTTTGTTAAGTTTCTCCTACATATTTAAACGCCTTCTCCCATTATGGCTCTTACACCAATTAAGTAAATAAGCACTGTTCAATTGTCAAAGGGGTTTGATGAATTTTAGCTCGCTTCTAACAGAAAATGAATGAGGGGACTATTACCAATTGCCCTCCTATAAGACCAAATCACCTAAAGAATTAAAAAGGCAACAACAACAACGGAAAAAAGCTTAGTTCTCGCAGGATAACCATCGTTTTTTGTTTGTTTGTTTTTGCTGATGCTTTTTTGTGAAGGCTGACATTAGTTCTTGTTACAAGACTATTAATCTAGCCCACACTACGACACTTGCGTCCAGGACTGAACGCGGACGCAATTCTTTTAATTGCTTGGCTCTGTAAATTTTGTAGGTAAAATTACGTTGATATTTGTTTCGGAGACAGAGGTATGCGGTTAAGATGTTTCTGTGGTAAATAGCAAGTGGGAATTAATGCGTATTACTCTGCTTAAATGTATTTAGTTTCAACGAACAGCTCTGCAAAAAGCTGAACGTCAAAACCACCACTCCATAGTGCAGTTGCTGCTGAAGAATGATGCCAGGCCAACTCTTCATCAACCAGTAAGATATCAGATTTTGTCAGTCTTCCCTAATCCATTTTGCCAAACGTTGTCTTTCAGATGGAGTTCTACCTAAATTGTTTAACGTTACCTATACATCATCGTACGAGTTTTTTAGTCTCTTCTATCTTTTAGATACCTTACATTTGTTGTTATTTAAGGAATACCTTACCTGAGAACCTTAGAACTGAAGACCTAGGCTTGTCTTGCTTCAAAAAAAACGTTGCAGAAATTTTTACAAAAAAAATATTAGGGACTTTGATCCTGATCGCCCACATGTTACCTGGGCATAAAATCATAGTCTAGTTTTATGTCATAATTATCAGTTTATATGTGTTACTTTTTTTACATTGTAAGTTATATTTCAGTTGAGTCAGGAGTTGCTCGTATGGTTCTTCTGTTCCCCACTAGTCCTTCCCCGCTGCTCTCCTCGCGTATGCAGTGAAAAATAAAAATTTAATTTAATTGAAATTAAAATGTGTTTATTTGCAATACACGGAAACACCATTAATCGATTATGTATCAAAAAGGTACTTTAGAATTAGAGTCTAATGAAAACCATCTTTATATTTTCCTCATGATCATGATCATTTTTATTATAGGTCAGTCTAAGGAAACTCGCGAGAAAAGCCTTCTCACAAGTCGATCAACAATCTGGACTTAATCTGCTCCAGGCTCCTGTCTTTGAAGGAAAATACAACATTGTTTTAAATGCTTATGGCCTTCTTGATAACTTTGAAGAAGAGACGGAACTTGTAACAACGGAACGTAACGCCAAAGTGTTTTCAGGGAAGACTGCAACGGACACCTTATCTCGTACAAAGAGAAAAAAACCAAGTCATGTTAGTATCGAAAGACTTAATGACAAGTGGGCTATGGACAACAGTAGAATAACTGAACAGCAGTGGACTACATGCCATGATGATGCGGAACAAGCAGTTGAGTTTGTGTTAAATGGCGGTATAGATATTAATGCCTCAGGATCAGACAATGATTGGACAGCTTTGTTGCAGGCGAGTCGTTCATCCTCAAGTCAGTTCATTGAGACCCTCATTGATCTTGGGGCCGACGTTAATGCCCAAAGAAGAGAAAGTAAAGAAACACCACTAATGTTAGCAGCTGACTGGAACAACTACATGGCCGCGTACTTGCTTTTAAGACATGGAGCTGATGTAAATGTACAGATTAGTAATGGGTTCACACCACTGCACTTATCAGTCAAAAAAAATCACGAAAATCTCATCAAATTATTACTTGCAAACAAATTGGTTGTAAATATTCAAGATAAATGTGGATATACACCCTTGCACTGGTGTGCCAAAGAGGGTCACGAATACCTCTGTAGATTGTTACTTGAACACAACGCGAATGTAAATATGAAAGATTATTTTGGAGATACACTATTGCACTGGTGTGCCAAAGAGGGTCACGAAAACCTCTGTAGATTGTTACTTGAACACAACGCGGATCTAAATACGAAAGATTCTTTTGGAGATACACCCTTGCACCGGTGTGTCAGAGAGGGTAACGAAAACCTCTGTAGATTGTTACTTGAATATAACGCGGATGTAAATACGAAAGATTCTGTTGGAGATACACCCTTGCACCGTTGTGTCAGAGAGGGTAACGAAAACCTCTGTAGATTGTTACTTGAATATAACGCAGATGTAAATATTCAAGATGAAGGTGGATACACACCCTTACACCGGTGTGTCAGAAAGGGTAACGAAATCATCTGTAGATTGTTACTTGAACACAACGCGAATGTAAATATTCAAGATGAAGGTGGATTCACACCCTTGCACCGGTCTGTCAGAAAGGGTAACGAAAACCTCTGTAGATTGTTACTTGAACATAACGCAGATGCAAATATTCAAGGTAAAGATGGATATACACCCTTGCACTGGTGTGCCAGAGAGGGTAACGGAAGCATTTGTAGATTGTTACTTGAACACAACGCGAAAGTAAATATTCAAGATAATTATAGAAATACACCCTTGCACTGGTGTGCCAGAAAGGGTAACGAAAACATCTGTAGATTGATACTTAAACACAACGCGGATGTAAATTTCCAAGATACATACGGATATACACCCTTGCACCTGTCTGCCTCAAAGGGTAACGAAAACCTCTGTAGATTGTTATTTGAACACAACGCGGATGTAAATATTCAAGGTTATGACGGATGTACACCATTGCACCTGTCAGCTCGTGGAAACAGCGATTGCAGTAAGATAATCGATCTTCTGATGAAGTACGGGAAGCAAAACATAAACATCCGTAATGCAGAAGGTTTGACTCCTCTTCAAATGGCAGTGAGACATGGTAACGCACGAGCTGTAAAAAAGCTCGTCAAGCTAGGAGCTGATGTTAGTGTGGTTAAAGCCGATGGAACTGATGCCAAAAGACTGAAACTCTTGAAGAAGGAAGCGAAGAGGATGAAGCAAGATCTTAAGTCTCAAATGAGTACTGCGCAAAAAGCTAACGAAACAAAATATATGACAAATGTCGCTTCTGTTCAAGGGGCAGAAAGACTCGAAGAGTTTTATCTCCAATCAGAGAAAATACGGAGGAGAACACTCTCGTATACGTATACAACACGGGAAATACAGGAGGACCCGGAAGCGGAACAAGTGGAGACACTAGCAGTGAGACACCCCAAATCAAAGGCCACTACATCCTCAAGAACAAATAGATGTGTAATGTTGTGACGAAAAAAGGAAATAGTTCGAGTTACCGGGAGTTCGAGTTATCGAGGGTAAAATTATACAGAAAGCGATCTGAAGGGAAATGTAAATTGCTTCGAGTTAGCGGGAGAGGTTCGAGTTACCGGGATTTGACTATAGTATAACTGCCCTGATCTGTTTTAGTTGCCCAGCTATTCAATTTTATCCTACGTGTTTCGTGTGACTGACGTCTCAAACTTCATCAGGGAGTTCTAAAACAAGACTCAGGATGTCTGTATATACTTGAACCTCAAACAAACTGTAGGCCCCAAAACCTTTTTCCTCGCATAAAGTATTTCTAGCCTGCGTTGCAGCCGGACTTGTCGCTCAAGGCCCGGTCTGCGACCCAGGCTAAGTATTTCGCGCCTTGCAAAAAAATTTCCCACACGCATCACCACGAAATTTGTGGTTCTTAAAAAAGGTCCGTGGGTGTTTGTATGAAAGTAAAATTTGGTGTGTTTTGGGTATATATATATATATATATATATATATATATATATATGCGTTATTGAAAGCATCTAAACGCCTGTATTTCCTTAGAAATTAAAGCGCGCTTATGTCTAGAAGGCCGATCTGCTCAGTAGATTTTACACCATCTGCATAAGGTCTAGCTCCTGTTTGTGATTACGCGATTCCTGTGTTTCACGCTTCGTTACCTCAGTTCCTAATCGACGATTTGGGGCGTGTACGAAAGAAGGCTCTCTCCATCTAACCTGAGATCAGGCTCTATTTTCGTTTCGCTTTGAAAATTACATTCCGGCGGGCAAGGCGAAACGAAAAGAGAGCCTGGTACAAACCTTCTACGAAACGTCTGCCGCCCACTTTTTTGATTGATTGACATTTGCCGAATCAGTCAACTAAAATTGCTTCCGTTGCTTGTTTTTCTAGTATGCAAATTTTTCACGCGTGGGAAAAATGCAGACTGGCTGCCTTAAAAAAAGCTTTTTCCAGCTAAAAATAAAACAGTCAGCACAATCACATTCAACTTCTTGCGAGATTAAGGGAGATCTCGAACGTTATTTCTGTTGGCGTAGAAGGTAAAAAGATTTCGAAAAGACGGCGACACGATGTTCTACTAGTTTTATTATTTTGGCTAGGCGCGATCGAATTTAAAATACTGAAATTTCTATTTTTCTGTTGCCTTAATATTTTCCTCGGCAATTTCCCTCGATTTTCAGTACATAAATCTTTAAATCCAAAAGCAAACAGCCAACGAGCGAGGGCACCAGTTTTCCTGGTTTATTTTTTACAAAAAACGAAGGCAAACAACCAGTCTGTTACCTTTTTAACAATGCCTACAAAAATTCCTTGAACAGCGATGCGATATTTTTCGTCTAATTCTTCACAGTTGGCGATTGAGGTTTCTTTCGCAGTGCCGGAGCCTCCGCTTGCGTACCCCGTTCAGAGAAGTCATTCCCGGCTAAACTTTCAAATGAAACCAGTTTTAAGATGGACAGTATTTTGATTTGCACTCGTTTGTTGGTAAATCAAAAGGCACCTTGTTATCGGCCAACAACTTGCATAGGGATTCAACTCCGCGATAAACTCACATTAGTTCCGTAAATAAAGCAAATCCTGAGAAGATATGAACAACCCTATGAGTTTTCTGAATTTCCATGGCACATATTAAGGCATATTTTCCTACCATAAGACCATAAAACAATAAAAAAGACAGCAAAATCGATCATTCCCTGCGCCGACGACGGATCATTCACGAAAACAACCACGCGAGGAATAAGCGCTTTCAACTTCCGGCGTTTCCGACAGCCAATCAGATCTTGTGGCATTGTTCTAACAGCCAATCAGCGTTACGGCCAAAATCTGGCCGTAACGAGCACAAACCAGTTCGGGAGTATGCCAGTTTTGGAAGAAGCGAAAACAATGGTCTACGTCACCAACCATAACATGATCACCATGGCGATGGCCATTTTCAAAACATACAAAATGGCGGACAAGGGAGAGGAGAAGAACGAGTATTGACCAAAATTCTCGTTTATTCTTGTTTTATCGAGCCTTTTATTTGTCTTTTTGTTACTATGAATTGGGAAGTACCTTGAGGACAGGGAGTAACCATTCTTGCGCTATAGTTCTTCGCTTATCGCGCGCTTAGTAGGCACTGCGTACTCACTGCGTATGTAATCAGTACATCGAAAATAGGTAAGCACGCTAACAAGTTTGTGCCTATTTATTTCATCATTTTTTTATATCATAAGGAAAAAAGAATGCTTTGGAAACAACTAAAAAGTGAGTTGTTCTATAATTCATTGTAATTTTTCCCGTTGCATCTGTTCTCTCCCGCGAGTGAGCGACTGGCCGGAGAAGACGGCTGTAATTCAGGTTAGTGTTTTGGTGCAAGCGAGTCATTTGTGAGTAAAATATCTGTTTTTTCGAATATGATGTTCTGTTGGTTTATGTCTTGAAGCAGTTCCGTCCAGGTATACAACAGGTTTACAAGCGATTTCTGAGGGTATTGTGCCCGCGTTTTCTTCTTGAAAACCCACAAAGTGAAAATCTTACTTATCATCCCAGATCATTTTTTTTTGTCCCGCTTCAAAAAAACCTGTTGCTTTCAATTATTCCACTTTCTGAAGTTAACTGATTATTTGGTCAAGCTTAACAAATGCAAGAGGCTCTTAAGAATTTAATATACATATTGGAAAACTAAGAATTATGCTTCTTACATGCTTTTGGATCTATTGATTAAAATGGGATACTATAGTCTTGGTAGTCCACCGGATTTGACCAGAGGTCAGAGATCAACAAGGTTATGTATGATTTGTTATAAAATATCCTCTTGTATGGGATTTGATGTTACATCCAAATAATACTAAATTATTGTTTTTAACTCTGGGGTTGCCTTTAAACCAAAGGCATTGTAACTTTGAGGAGCACTTTTCTCCAAGTCTTCTCTGTGGGGACCCTCAAACAATTCTATTAGACAAGGTTTGGCCCAAAATAATAAATGATTACTGCCCTTGGCATGGACACAACATAAGTTTTCCAAAGTTCTTTTTCATAGCCGGTTCTTCATGTTTCTATTGAACAGCACTTTCAAGAAAACAAAGCTCACACATCAGAGTAAAGATACAATAAAAGTTATTTATTGTTATATTTTGTTTTTTGTAAATAAACATTTTATTTTAGGTCCTGACAGTTAATTCTTTCCGTATTACTGTTTTTGATCCTGACCTGCATGACTCGCTGCCATGGCTACCTGGCTCGCATATTATACACACTCTTTTATCTCAAAATCTTGTTTTTTTAACACCTTCTTGGACATGAAAACCAAAATCCAAAACTTAATTGATATAATGAAGACAGTAGCAGCTGACATCGATTTTCAATAGTTATCTTGTGAGATGTCTCTCATGTATTATTTATTAGGGAGGATGATTTGTAGAAGACGATGCATTAACATAGATGCTTTTTCATCAAGAGAATCTCAATAATTTAGGATTTATTCAAATACACACATATTCGATATTATGACATCAAATGTGGGCTTATTGCTCATGTAAAGGGATTGATGAGGGAGAGCGTGGCATTTTTCATGTTTCTGATTGACCTTTTGCGCAGCACAGGGACTGAACATATTATGTATTTGGCATCTGTAAAGTATAAACAATATTTGACGCGAGGGATTGAACATTATGTAGAGAAAATCTTCACAAGCCTCCACTTCCATGACTCCTTCCTCATCTATCTCCTTTAAAGCCCCTTGAATAAGGGCCACAGTCTCTTCTATGGTTGAATGGTCATTGAGTGTGAGCTTCCACTCACAAGGTACATAAGCCCCCCCTCCAACCTGTTTCCCTCTTACCCATTTTTGAAAGGGTCAAAGGAGGGGCTTTTGTGGTGGGTAAGCCTGTGACCACACTACAAAGAAACAAAAAAACATGGTTAATTCTATTGAGGTAGGGTTGAAGTTGGACATTAAATTTTTCATTACAGTGGAACATAAGGCGAACCTAAAAGCAATATTTTGCCCTCAGAGCACAAATATGTCGTTCTGAAGATATTTAGCATTTTGTCTTCCTGGTTGCTTTTCCCAGCTTTTTGGCACAAACGCGACAACATGTTTGTAATATCTCCACATGTTTGTCTACATTTTTGACGGAAATCCTGATCAAAATAAAAGAAATCAATGTAAGAACCTACTCACACTGATTTAAAACTAATTCCACACACATGATCTGGATCAATAAAGTGATTTCTAGATGAGAGTCGCATAAATTGCCGGTGAACACGACCAAAAACAGACCTGATCGATTATAACTGAAACTACATATACAGGCTAAGGCATAACCATCAATATCAGTAACCCTTCCTGTCCGTTGGCAATTTTCAATGTGTGGTTGCCATTTTTACTAGGTTGTTGCCATCGACGAAACTTTGCCTGAACACACTTTAAACGTTGTAGTTTTGAGGAAAATTAGTCTTGACTTCGTAAAAATTCGGCAAGATACTGAAAACTAAACATAAAGTCATGTACTTACATTCGATACCCGTCAAGATGGCGGCGGCGGCGTCGAAGGCCATTTGAAAACTGTCGCTTTTAACTACCGAAATGTGGCAGGAAAGTTCCCTTGACATTCAAAAAGCAAGGAGAAGGCTTCTTCACCGGTACTGCTAGCTCGGAAGTCCCGGATATTGAACGAGGAGAAGTGGAACAGGCTTTGAAAAAAGCTCCCTTGTTTCTTGCGATTATTTTTTCCTATTTTTGCGTGTTTTTAGCAGAACAATGGAATCATGACGTCATCGCTTCTTCCAAAACTGGCATACTCCCGAACTGCAAACGTGAGAGAGTTTGTATCAGGCCCAATTTTAGCGGTAGCCGTTAGAGAGAATGTATGAGAACCGCTAAAATTGGGCCTGATCTCAGGTTACTCTCCATCATATGCCCCACCTTATCCTACGACAACGCTCTAGCTTCGTTAGACCTACAATCGGCGACAAAATTGTTGAGACATTGTACTCAAATAGGGTAACTTAGGAGAACAAAAGAATCCACGCCCGTCCCCTGTCCCCTCCATTCAAAGTTGGGGTGTTTGTTGTTCTTTGTAGGTAGCTCGAACATCGGCACAACATTGCACGGAGGGGATGGGGGAGTGAAATCTATATTTCCTCCTTTTGAAGTTAGTAAAATGTAAAAAAGCCCAGTTTTGGGCGAAGTGTCTGAACTCATTTTGTTGCCGATTGTGGAGTTACTATTTTTTCACCATCAGCGCCTGTGTCAGTCCCTTTTCGATAATATCTTAGAGGACAGAGATCACCGTCTCCATCACTTTTGGCAGGACTTTCATGTCAAGTTTAAAACTTGCGGGGCAACGAATTGTTTTAGTTTCCACTGCCTTCGCGTAAACTCATTAGCTATATGGAATAGCCATCAGTTTTCTGATAAAACTCTCTTCGTAGTTTATATATTTTATGTATATGTAGATACCCTTCATACAAATAAACTCCCTTTACAGCGAACATTGTAGGGACCTTGAGTCAATTGACTATTTTCCAATTGCCCATAAGCCACTCTGTTTACCCCCCAAATTTTGCATAACTTATTGTCTTAAAATGCTCTTGGGAAAATGCAATACTCCCAGGAGCATTTAAAAACAATGGTTTATGCAGAATTTGGGGGGCAAACAGAGTGTATTATGGGCAATTGGAAAATAGAGAATGCCCCCACTAGACCATTATCAAGAATCTATAATAGCGGGAGTTTTCATCAGTCAAACATCTCTAATATATATTTGCAAGGGATGTAGGACATGTAGCTGCTGTCCGTATTATCGGGGTGTTCGTAATAGTGGGGTACCCGCAAGGCGGGAGTGTTTTCTGTGATTTAGTAGTTTTTATCTTTTACATGTATATAGGTAATTTAGTCAATTTATCCTCTGGCGCGATGTCTATACCAATAAAGTATCCGCTATCTATCTATCTATCTATCTAGCTTGTTCGGTCAAGAGGGCTGGGTATTCTGGCCCGGTTCTTTTCTGCGTTTTTATGCACCGAGGGGAAGTCGAGATCAAAAGAAACGCAAAAAGGAACGAGGCCAATATCCGACAATATTTACCGAACAAGATTGGACGTTAAAGGATTGATTATATGGCCAAGAAGCAGAAGAAGAGAAGTTGTCTTTGCGGAACAAACGCGGGAAATCCCGAGCAGGCAAGATGGGTCCATTTTTCCCGCTCCGGTAGCCAATCAGAAAACAGGATTCGCTTCTTCTTGCCTTCTCGCGGATTTAGCCATTTAAGCCATTCAATAAACAGGCGAGTTTCGTTTTAAAACTCCTTGATAAAATACGCGTTTGTAGCTCAAAAACACTTAGGATACAATAAATAATTACAACTCAGTGCAAAATTTTTCTTTTTAGAAAATTCTGGTTTATATCTGAGGGCCTTTTAAAGACTGAGGGAGGGCAGGTAATAACAAAGTGGCCATGAGCGTTAAGGAAGTGATCGCTAACGAGAGCGTTAAACACCATAAAGTCGCAGCTCAAACGTTTTTGATGTACGTAATCCGAGAACAGTTTAGAGCGCCGCTGTTTTTTTTTTAAGGATGTACCGTACAATTTACGTGGGCTTAGCATAAGGCTGGTTTACCTCCTTTTAATCTGGAGCTTATGCATCGATCCTTTACATTTCTAGCCAGCAAACTTTGGAATGCGTTACCTCCAAAAGTCAGGGAATCACAAGACATTGCGTCGTTCAAGCGATCTTTTAAAGCTAACATGGCTTGAAGTGTAGGGCTTATAAATTCCGTAAATAGGTTTAGGTTTAGATTCTGCTTTCGCCATTTTGTAGATCTATTTATAGTTAGTACATTAATAGTAGTAATGTATAGGTTACCAGAGGATTTGATTTGATTTGATATACGTACTCTTTATGCATGCATTTTTAGCTTTTTCGTTTCTTTTTTTTCATGACTGTTAACTGTTTCAAATGGTTTCCGATTACGTGAGTCTAATGAAAATAAAAACAGATTTATTAATAAGCGTATCATAAATAAATGAACCAGATTATTCCATTTCATTATTTGATATCGATGAGTCCGGATGACGGCTTAACTTCAGTTCAAAAGGCAAGTAAAAAAAGAAAAGAGAAGAAAAACTATGATGGCAATAAAATTCGCCAGCACGCGTACTCCCTTTCTCCATACCTTCTCTTCTTTATTTCTTTGTTCTTTTTTAATATATTACGCGTTTTAGAATGTGGGTGAATTTTCCGCCGTTCCGCGATTTACGACTAGGGTGATTTCATTCCACCGTTCCACCTTTGGGTCGCTCCGTGGCTTTTTTTGACGGGACATTTTATGTCGCATACACAAACACATTCCTGAGGGTCGCGAATGCTGGAGAATGGCGGTGTCGGTCTGACTTGGGCGTTGTTAGAGGAGATAAAACTAGTGGAAGGACGTCAAAAGCGGGAAACGAAGCTGTAGCTATAGCAGGGTAAGGATTCTTGTCTCTAAATCGACTGTTTTTTTCTCCTTTAAGTATCCTCTTTAACTAATGACTGTGCAGCAATGTTGCATTTAATGAGCAATTTTCGCATGTAGCTATCCTTAAAATGCAGCTCCAACTTATAAAGAAGTCCAAGAAAAATGATTTCTCCCGTCAATATTAATGAATTCTTCTTTAACCGTAACTTGTAACTTTAACCAGCTTTAACCGAGATGAAAAGTGTTAATGTTTTTAATGTATTATGATGAGAAAATCATACGATCAACTCACTTCCGGCTTTGAACGTCTGTTTGAACTGGCATCAAGGAATCAAGACTTACACAGTAAGCTTATGTGTTTAGAAATTAAAGAGTACAGGAGCTTTTTAATTATTAAGGGCAATTAGTTGGTCCCAAGATGTAACGCCTTTCCCTGCACTGAAATGTTTCAACTACTAACATAGGCGACAGAAGCGTTTCCCCCCCCGCCCCCCCGCCACTTTTGTAGAATAATAAATAACTTTTTTTTCTTTTACCACGGTGAACTCATTATAATAGGACTTAAAAACACTATTTTTTTACAAAACTTTAGTTGATTGGCTTTCCAATAAGTCAGTTGGGTTTTGCTGCATTCAATTTTGCTGTATGCATGACCAACTTCCATTTTTTAAAAAACATGAGTCTCTACATCGGAAATAAGTTTTTGTCACCCTGAGACGCCTCAAAACATACCTTAGAAAGATCAGTTAAACAGCTACATGCTTGTTCACTGTCACTAGACATTGGCGGACACAATCAACCCTGTTGTGATCGCCAAGACGTTCGCGAGTGCATGCAAATGAACAAGGAACGGACATTTTGTGAAGTTTGAGTAAATGTTAACTTGTCTGTTTAAAACAATAAACAAAGTACATAGTCACCCCAACCCCCTATGGAAGGCTATCCTATGTAGTTTTTGTTATTGGCACTACTTAAGATTGCATCCAAGGGGTTCGAAATAAGGGTCTGGATGAGCGGGGAAACAAATGTCAGTTGTCATGCAGTTAAAAGGTTTGCCCATTTGTCAGTTGTCAGTTAACCCCATCAAGATCCTCCAAAATGTTTTCGCTATCTTAAAAAAGACAGAGGCTGCCTTTTATTCCTTATTGCATTTTGGATGGAAGGGGTGGGTGTGGGTGGGGTGTAAAAATAATTGAATGTTTAATTTTATTTTCAGCCCCCCCCCCCCCTCTTTTTATCTCGCTCTGCCACCACTGACTGCATTTTATGGTTCAGTCAATGAGCCATTTCCAAGTTTCAAAATATCCTGCTTTCTAATTACGAGGCTAAGTGGAAAACCGTTCTTGTGAAAATGAGTTTTATTTCCGTGAAAGTAAAAAATTTTTTTCATATCAGCGGCTTCCCAGCCTTGAGTTGATGCCTTTGTTTACAGGAATACAGGAAAGGTCTATAAGATAGGACAAGCACTTAAAAGACAGGAGACATGTATTTAAACCAATTGTATCATTTCAGTACTACCCAATTGCAGTGAACAATATTGAACATCCTGCAAGGAAACTGGTTGCCTGTGTTCTTTGTTGTTTACTCCTAAAAAACAAAAAGCCAGACAAGTAGGCAAGAGTCAATCCTATAGAAGAAGTGCATAGGCAAGTTGGCATCTATAATATTGTGTTTGCCTAATCAGTGTCAACAGAATCTACAAATCCTTACCTAACGTCAGGCCTGTTGGTCCAACCCTTTCAGTTAAACGGTGATTCATACCACTTTTCACTGGATAAATACCTTTGCTTAACTACAACACTGACATGAGAGAGTCACATCATTATAATCTGAATTGTGGGCAGTGTAATTAATATGTTACTTATAATAGCAAGGACTTATATATTCTCCTTCTATTCATTAGTCATGGCTGCCTCATCTGATCATCCTGAGACCATGAAAGCAACACAGAGTCTGGACAATTCAGAGGTTCAGTCTTTTTCTTAATTATTTCTACAAATGCTATATTTTATTCAAATTGTACTATAGTGTTGATATGTCAGCTGACATGTTGACTGACATGGTCGACTTGTTGACTAATGTTAACCAATATTGACCAAGACTTGGTTAACATATTGACCGACAGTGAGCAGACATATCGACCGATGGGTGCCTTCAGTACACAAGGTACAAGAAATTTATGATTAAATTTGCATTGTTTGTTTGTAGTCAACTTTAGTCTATTTGTATGGTCACATATGTATACACCTAATTGAAGTTTAAGTGTTTTAGAAAAAAAAAATAAAGTAACAAGTATTTGTAATCCATTGAATTTGGCATATTTGTCACTATCATGTAACATTTTTCCTTTGGATTTAAAAGGAATCCTTCATTTCTGAAACTCTCACACAAAACTGTAAATTCGAAATATTGATGGCTATAGTCTAGATCTCTTCAATGGTCTGATTATACCTCTTCTGACCTATGGCATTTCAGTGTGGGGTACTGCAAGTTATAATGAGTATTTCTTTCTAAAATTGATAAGTTTCAGAAGAAAGCAGTTTGTTTGGCTTTCTCAAGAAGGCCATACCTGTTTTAAGCCTTCTACAGGCCTCAGATAATAACTTGTGAAGAGCATCACAAATTCTACTGAGGTCCCTTTGGCAGATCTCCGCCCACCCACTAAAACAAGATTGCCAAGGAATCGCAGTCACTCTTTTCTACTTCATCAAATTAAAACTGAACATTTTAAACGGCTGTGTTTTATTGATAGGTGTCTTTTCAATTTTCTATAACATTTTTGAATTTTAATATGGAATTATGTTTTTTTTTAATTAATGAGGGGCTTATTTATTTATTTATTTATTTATTGTATCAACCTAGTTGATTATATAAAACAAATTTTTGTTTAAATTGCTATTAATTTGTTTTCTTTCATTTTCATTTTTTTCTGTGACTGGTGTACTATTTGAATAAGGTTTAATTATCTTTTAATGCTAGGCCATTAGCACTGATCATGATTAATATAGACATCACTTATTGATGACTTACATGCAATAAGTTCTTATACATGTAAGAAGGCACTTTTCTTCCCAACTAAATTTTTCCATATACATGTAAGCTCTCTTTTTGCCCAAGACCCTGCAAGTATTGTGTAAGAAACTTAATCATTGTCTTATTAGTTTTAGATGACAAGAGATCAATGCAAAGAGTTAGAAATATAATTATCATGGTGATAATTTTTTTATTAAAAAGCAAATTATGTCGGCATGGTGTAATAAAAGAGGCAGGGTAGCGATGAAATTTTGTGCCAAAATTAAGAAGTAATTCACCACCCATGATATTAGTTTCAGCTATCCCTGAAAAGCCCCATAATAATGATAATGATAATGATAATGATAATGATAATGATAATGATAATAATAATAATTATTATTATTATTATTATTAGAACAGAAGAGCCAACAGTTTACCATGTACTAAATCAGTCATCAGTTACCAAAACCTGCTATGTCTTTTGAGCCAAAGATCTCCTAGCTATTCATTGTTATTGCCATGTTTACGTAGGTTTGCTCTCCTGAGACCAGTGTTCCAGCGTTACATGTTACTCTTCTTGGTGGTGAGTGGAGTTCATCTGCTGGTGGCTTGTCAACCATAAACAGAGAGCTTGCTATTCACCTTTCAAATCATTCAGCAGTGAAGGTTTCTTTGTTAGTCCCCGAGGGAGCTTGCAATCATGAAGAAAAAAATGAAGCCCTTACCTATGGAATCACTATCGTTGAGGCGAAGAGACGTGCCGCATTTGATCGTCTTCTTTGGTTAAGCTCACCACCCAAGGATCATGTCATGGACATCGTTGTTGGTCATGGTGTAAAACTTGATCGGCAAGTACAATTCATTATAGACTCTGCTAAATTTCCAAATTGTAAATGGATACAAGTGGTGCACACTGCTCCAGAGGACCTTAGCAGATACAAATGCTACAGTGACCCCATTTCAAAAGGTGAAACAAAACACGAATCAGAAGTTGAACTTTGCAAACTTGCTGATCTTGTTGTGCCTGTGGGACCTAAACTGAAAGAAGCATACACTTCATATTTGCAGCGATGTAAGACAGATCATGACGTTTTGTCTATTACTCCAGGTCTTTTTCAAAGGGAGTTTGAGGATTTAGTTGCAAAACAAGATCCTAACGAGGATGGTGAATTCAAGGTGTTGTTATTTGGTCGTGGGGATGATGAGGACTTTGAACTCAAAGGATACAACATTGCTGCTCAAGCATTTACTGATCAGCGGCTAAAAAACAAACCCTATCATCTAATCTTTGTCGGAGCACCTGAAGGAAAACAAGAGGAAGTCAGAGAAAAACTTCTTCATCATGGTATTACAGAAGCACAGTTGACTGTTAGAAAATTTATACAAAGTAGAGAGAGAATGAAAGATCTGTTGTGTGAAGCTGACCTTGCCATTATGCCATCAAAATCAGAGGGATTTGGTCTTGTTGCCCTCGAGTCCCTATCTGCAGGCCTACCCATTCTTGTTGGTAGTAAGTCTGGATTTGCCAAAGCATTAGAGAATGTTCTTCATGGTTATTCATGCATTGTAAATTCAGATGATCCTACAAAATGGGCAGAAGCAATTGAAGCTGTTCGTGTCAGGCATCGAATGCGCCTTGAAGAGATTAAAGCACTTGAAGCATCTTATGGAGAGATGTACAGTTGGGAGGAACAATGCGAAGCTCTCGTGGAGAGAATGTGGAAAATGGTCCATGGTAAGAGGTTTCGCTGTAAAGGAGTAAATGACAAAGCAAAATGATGAATATGAGTAATACAGTCGACTCCCGATAACTCGAACCCTCGCTAACTCGAACCTCACGCTAACTTGAACCAAAATCGACTTCGCCTGGATTTCCGTCTTACATTCACTGTAATTTTACCCTCGGTAACTCGAACGCTCGATAACTCGAACTCCCGGTAACTCGAACCGATTTTCGTTTACCGTCATTTCATTTTCTATATAATTTTACCCTCGAAAACTCGAACCATGTTTTGAGCCCTTAAAAAAGTCGGGAAAAATGCCGTTTACTGGCGTCCGAAACATTGAATTTTGGATTTCCTATTGACGTGTTGTAGGAGTATAGTTTACCAGTGGAGGCTAATGTTGATTGTCACAGGCTAACGTGAAGCAGCTTTTCTTCTCAAAACAGTAAAACGCATGCTCTATTTAGGCTATGTTTTGTTACGTTAAGTTGTGATTTATAATCTAAAACTATCTTTTCATTTTCACTTGACATTTCAACAATGAAATGTGATTAAAATGTTCACTGTGCAGTAAAAACTCTTTTTACCTTACTCTCAACTATTTTCTTCGAACTCCCGATTACCCGAAACTCTTTGCGATTTCCCTGGAAGGTTCGAGTCATCGGGAGTCGACTGTAGTTACAAAATGCTATTGACTGTTCCGAGGAAAATGCCCACAAGGCATGAGAAAAGTACTGTACACATGCAGTTTTGACTTTTGCCTACATGTTGAGAACATATCTTAATTGTTGTAATTGGGGCACTGCACAATCAGCTTTCCTGAAATATTTTAGATGTTTATGGTATTCTTGGCTCGATTGGCAGCGATTACTTACCTATTGATTTTGTTTTTTTCCGGTAATTTCCCATTCTAGTAGTGTTGATGTAAAGAAGTTAACTGTGACTGCAGTCTTTGACTGTTATAAAAAATTACACACCCTTTTGAAGTAAATAATTTATTCATAGTAGGCATTAACAGTAGTATTACAGCATGGACCGAGTGGAAAATGTCTTTGACCATTTGAGGTACTGTGTGTAAATTAAAATAAGTGATAAATGTGAATGTCCTATCATGAAAAATATAGATAGCTGAAGCAGTACAAAGTAGGCAGTCCACTGGATAGGGCAATGATATGCGATCCTAAAGCACTTTCCATTACAGCACACCAAGTAGATATTTTGTATTTAATAGTTTTCTATAAAAACAACTCTACACACTATTAACTTTCTCTTCAGCGCCAAGGGACCTTCGTTGTTTTCCCCTCACAATGAAACTATAACATTATAACCAACCAACAGGGTCTGAAAATGGCAACAAGCCAAGAAATGAAGCAACTTTCCGCGCCGAGAAGAGAGCTCATTTTGCAGCAGGAAGTCAACCTAAAAGTAGCTGTAAGCTTATTCCAGGTATGGAAAAACATTATCCGCTTCCTCTTGCTTATGGCTTCTGGTGTGAGCGAAGGTTGGGGTGAGAGGTCCCTTTTTGGTCACTGAGGAGTGTCTACCGTATAATTTGTAGTAGTGAAAAAACCATACTGCCCACTCACTGAACGTAACTGAACAGACTGTATTTATGAGTCACATCTTCTAAGTTGACTACACGTAGCTTACTAACCGACGCACCGTAATGTTATTTGAATCAGTTCAACATTTTATTTAGTGTGGCAAGAAAATACACAAAAAGAGAACTTATTAGGATTCTGCCTACATGTTGACATTTCTCAATAGGTTTATCTTTACCTCCAGACATTGGTAACATGAAGGCATCGTTATCCAGACCTGAGTAAAGAGTACAGCAGGACATAATAATTCGTTAAATTTTAACAAGACAAATACAATTTTGCACTAAATATTGCACGCTTTCAACTGCCGACGGAATGCTGCTCTGATTAAACATATACAGGATACGTACAACTTGGACTTGAAATCTGTGGGCATCGGATCTCTTGAAATTGAATTTCAGTATCCCTCCCTCAAGAGGATAGAGGACTATCGATCTGGTCACCCTAATGACATTGCTGAGAGATACCATGTGTCTCAGACGAGAACAAAAGTATGCAAGCCTTTAACAGAACTGCTACCCTTTATACCACTCAGATTTAACAATTTGCTAGTGAATGACTCAAATCTGGGAACCCGGTTAATACACACACTAAGTAGACTAAAATAAGTTTTGTCAACATTTTTATTTAGTTTCTTAAATAAAAGGCTTATCGTTTCTCGGCGACTTACTTTTTGTTTTCAGATATAACTACCAAGCACTGTTTTCAAGAACTGAATGATGAACAGAGCAAAATAGTCCGTGAAACTCTAGAACGACAAATTCAAGTGTACATGCGATTTCGTAACATTTCAACCGCCGAGGGGGTGTCTGGCCTGATAGAACATATACAGGAGACGTACAACCTGGCGTTGAAATCTGTGGGCGTAGGATCTCTAGAAATAACATTTCAGTGCCCCTCCCTGGAGAGTCTTGAACGTTTGTGGAGTGATTATCAGTCTGGTCACCTTAATGACGTTGCTAAGAGATACCTTGTGACAGATGACATAAAGAAGAAACTGAGCTTGAAGAATGTCAGGTTGAAGACAACGATTGAAGATGAACACTACCGGATTTGTAGGATGATTTTAATGGAAGAACTATGTGAGTTTGGAAGCCTTTTGTAAGCAAATTAATTGACTGCAACTTAAATTTTATAAACTTGTTGAAAGCTGAAATCAATAATCTGGAAATAAATTAGTCAGTACAATTTTCTAAGAGTGAGCCACAATTAACATTTTACCTTTCCTACTTAAATCCCTGATAAAAGACTTAGAGACAGTTCTTTTTTCCACATAACATGAATGCATTGTCACAACAGCTATCTTGGGTCAAAAGAGACAAAGTAAAGTTGGGGTCGGGTCTTGAATTATAAGAGAACAACAAAACATCTTCCAAGCTTATTAATTATTTTTTAAGCAGATGGCTATTATTTACAATCATTTAAAAATGATTGTGCGTAAAAAGTAAATGGACTTGCGGTTAAAATTCATGACAGATAGATTTATCATACAAGTAAGTCTGTTTTTGCCCTGCGATTGGTCAATTTGCTGCCCATAACTCCTACACTCTTACTGTTTGGACATAAAATTGCAAAAAAACAAATGCTCATTCATTTTGGCAACACTCGTACGTTTTGCCAAAGAAAAACGAGTGTTCCTTTCGACAACGAACATACTTGGACCTCAGATCATCTTCTTTGCCAATTTCAGTGTTTTTCACTAAGACCAATGAAAGAAAGATGGAAGCGACTTCGAGCCAAATACATCGTCCAGTTTTTGCAATGCTCTAGCGTTATATTGGCGAGCTAAAATTTACAGTGCTCTGAGTTTTGACCATTGAAACATTTTCGACATGGCGCATCTGCATTTTGATTTCATTTTCAATGGAAAATAATGTAATGTGCTATTGTTTTTGTGAGCCAATAAAACTTTCTTTTCTTGGCGGTTGTCTGACGTCTATCAAGTCACTTGCCTTGACATTTTTTCCGATAGCTATACATTGGAAAAAACTCGGTCCATGATTTTACAGAAAGGACCACCAACTTGGTTACTAAGAGGTAAAACGTTATGTTTACAGTGTATAATTACTGTGAGCCGTATTCTTTGGATTCTCAAATTTCCTTTTAATTATAAAAACAGGCCACAAGTGGACAGTATGAGGCAGAGAGCCGCTAGAGAGTTTCATTTTCATGTAGAGTTTCAGAGAGTACACTAATTTTACCTGTTGTGAGTACATTCTGGAACAGTAAATTTACTCTAGATAAATTTATAATGCACATTTGTTATTTCATTCTGTGCTAGCAGTGTTACCAGTTACCAGTGAGTCACCTTTAACTGAATCAGATCAAGAGACAGCTTTACCACCAATTTGCACAAGCGCGGATGTTTGTAAGGTAGGCTGTTGGTGAATGCTAATGGAAAAAAGTTCAATGTCAGTTCAAGTCAGTGTACTCCGGATAATACCGTTATTGAATGAGGTTTACAATCTCAGTGCATTTCATCGCGCAGAATGCCTGTTGTTCTCGGGACATTTACTTCCAGTTCAACAAAGTTCGTAGATCTGTCATATCACGCGCAATCACGCAGTCTTTATGAAAGCGCTTTAACCATTGGTTGGCAAGAATGCACGACGATGCTCATTTTAATGGAAAACTAAACAATGAATGCAGCACGCTATTAGCTCTTTTGTTTGGGAAAATGGCGAAGATGCGCATATTCACAGTGAACGTAAAAAAGACATTTTGCTTCATTTTGCGGGAATTTTGTTCGTTCAAAAGTTAAACCACAGAAATATTAGCTCCGTTAAAGTATAATGGTTTTCTAACGATGGTAAATAATGATGTGGCTAATAGACCTTTTTACCGATACGGAGGCCATATTGAATTAAAAAAACATCTCTCGAAAGGGGATATCTAGAGGCTAACCCTATATAAAAGATTCCCCAAAATAAAAGATGAAAAGGTAACATCTAGAATCTAAAACATTATATACAGAGAGAAAAATTTAAAACCTAAAAACTAGAGTTAAAAACATCATTTGCATAACATAATTAAAACTATTTACTATTGTATTAATCAATATTCCTATAAATCCTTAATCTGTGGCGAAATAAAGTCAGCGATCCTGCGTGTACAACATCTTTAGGCAAGTTATTCCACGCATTAACGATCCACACAAAGAAAGAATATTTGTAGCAGTAGGATGGCAACTTTTACATAGAGCTTATAATCGTGATCGGCTCTTTTTCGATTACACTTAGTAAGTTCAAAAAAGTCCGAAAAAGGAAGGCTATCTATTCCAAAAACTATCTTGTAGCACTAAACTAGAGATAAGAACTCTCTACGTTTATCCAGAGTTTGCCAATTCAGTAAGCGGCAGCGGTCTTCATAGCTCATTTATCCGCGCTTTTGCTTTAAGGCCAACCGTGATGCT